AACAAAACTGTAGTCAAGATTAAAAAATGTAATTTTATTTTTCTACTTTATTTTAACAAAAAACAATTCCTCTCAGGATGAATTCTTCTCTGATGTTCAAGTTGAAACCTTGCTTCTGCACCTGTCTCATGGGAGAAAACGTTCCAATTTGCTTCTGGAGCAGTCTCTTCTAGTTTTTCAAGCCCTCTTTTAGCAGCAACTGGTTTAAAATGCTGCTCTGTTTCAAAGCGTGCAGTTTCGATGTATCTTCACTAATGACGGGAATCTTTTCATTTTGTTCCTGAGCAGTCAGGTCACTTTCACTGTCAGACAGTGTACACAGGAGAGTGTCATTTTCATAGGTTGGGAAATAATACCTGAAACAACCACAGATACATTGAAGAAACACATTAGTCAACCATCGAGTAATTTCTAGGTAGGAATATATAGTAACATCTCTATCAATTAATAAGTTTGCTAGGTTTCCTTTACAACAATTTCAACCACATTGTGCAATGGCCACAAAGGAGCGGAGAAGCCATGGTGGCACAGTGGTAACGTACTTGCTTGTGAAATGAAAAGGGGCTGGCTTGAACCCATGAGCTGCTCTACGGGGGAAAGAGGCGGCAGCCTGCTTCTGTAGAGACTTAGAGCTGTGAATATTCCATTCCACGCAGCAGTTCTCTGCCATAGATGCTCTGAATTGAAATGAAACTGATAGCAATGAATTTTATACGAGGGACATGTCTTCTGAGTTACTGCCACCTTTACTAGCTGACATGTATTCCTGTCCCACAGCCACTGTGAACTGGCCACTTAGCCTCTGCTCAACATCTACTATGATGATACACTCACAATCCTAAAAGGCCACCTATGTTAGAATTGGACAACTTTCATTAGAAAACATCTCCTTACTTAAAGCAAAACCTCGTATCTCTTTCTATAAAAGATCCCAGTGTTTTCCCCAACTTAACACAATTCAACTCCAGTTACTTTTTATACATTAATCCTTCAAATGTCTCAAAAAAAAAAGTTTGTTTCCTCTTGGGTTTTGTTTTCTAATTCAGTCACCACTAGTGATCAAAAAATAAAACACTGAATTACAAGTTTGTTAATCTTGAGTTAGTTCAGAGGTTCCTCTGAGGATTTTGATGAAGAACGATGAGAACTGGTGGCTGGTTCAACCCAGAGCTGACAATGACCTTCCCACTCTGGGCCTTGTGTGAAGGAGAAACTCTAGAGCTTTGCAGCGAGAGTTTGAGGAGGTGGATTAGTATTCCCCAAGGACTGAGGATCTGCTGGGAAACTAGAAATGCAAAGCCTCTCAGAACTCCCATCATCTGGGGGGTCCCAGAGTGGGCAGATCCAGACAGAAGCATGGAGCTGGCAGAGGTACCTGGAGGTTGACAAGATCTCTTCATGTCCAACTGCTTACTGTTCTTAAGGTGTCGAGATGCAAAATATGCACCCAACTCTCTAGTAATAGTATAGAAACCTTTACTACAGTAATATTATTTCTAGCAGTTTGTGCAAAATATGTAGAATAAGATAAATATGTAGAAAGATGCAATAATAAAATTATTCACTTTTTGTTACTTATGATAACCAAAAAACTCCACTATCTAAATAGCTAACAAATTAGGGCAGGGCTTAGAACTGAGTACTTCTTTTTATGTGCCACTGAGATGAAACAGTCTCATAGACGACCCTCCAGTGGGTTTTCAGAGGCTGTAAATTCCACAGAAGGACAAGGCCCATCCTTCTTCTTAGGAGCAGCAGGTGTATTCGAACTGCCTGCCTTTGGGTCCACAGCATACATCTTTTAACCAGTCGGCCATTAAGGCTCCCTTTGTCAACTATAAAAAAGCATGCAATAGATGTGCAGCAGGTACTGAAGATGCTTGTAGTCGTCTGTTAAGATGACAGACCCAGTGAGTGTCTAATTCTACATTTACCTACATTTATGTCTATCTGTGCGCTACAGATTCTCAAATAGTTGGTCTTGTAAGGCGAGGACTACTTTAAAAGAAAGGTTTTTGAAGCTCTTTTACACTTTATAATAAAATATTACTTACTGTTTAAGGAAATTAGACAAAAGGATACAGTAAGAGAGCTGGCCAAAAGACGTGCACATCTGGCCAAACAGTACTCACTGCAGCTGGTCCCAGGTCTGTCTGTCAGGAAGCAGCGTTATGTGCTTCGTTTCCTCCATGTGAGTCCTTAACTCGGCTTTGGACTTAAACTTCACGTGGCACCCGTAACACCTGCACTGGTGAACTTCCCTCCGGATGAAGTTAACCAGTTTCACTTGCTGATAGAAATTTAACCCTGAAAACGATGGCATGCACAACCATCAGACACCTGGTCAGATCCATTTTTTGCACTATTTTAATTTAAAAATGATGAAAAATGTAAAATTTGTTAAAAAAGAGCCATTTAGCTTTTGCATCCAATGTAAAGAGGCACTCTAATTAGAGACACAATAAAAGGTACCAAACAGTAACAGCCTGTGTGTCCCCAGGGCTCCCGTGCTAGGTAATGCTCTAATCCCTTTCCATATATGAATACATTCAAACCTCATAAAGTCCTATTAGGTGGTATTTCAAACCTGAATGTATATTAGGAAACTGTACAAAGATGCGTAGCTAATAAGTGGTGGAGCCAGGAATTGACACCTGGCTGTTCAATCCAAAGCCCGTGTTTTTAACTGCTAAACTGACTACACATATAATACAGGGTCCTCAGAGGACCAAAATAAAGCAGCACACTCAATAGAAAAACAGTCAGTGCGAATTTTACTGTTTGGGGCCCAGTGGCAAACTTGGTCCTTTTGATTAAATCGATAGAGAATGACATAGTAGGATATATCGATTATGAAGAATGCTCGATGCACTTCTGAACAGTGCGGTTAGTACCAGACATACACTACTCAAGTGAGTTACAGATGGGAGGACGGCACAGGATAGAGCAGGATTCAGATCTGTTGTTCATCGGGTCGCTATGAGCTGTGCTCGATTCGATGGTACCTAACAACAACAACCCACTCCCCACCACTCTCCTTCAGTAAGTGTTGGAACTGAAATAAGAACTGCAGTGTGATTTTAAAACCTCTAGTCGTTTCACCAGTCCCCCTTCCATGTGTTACTGTACACATTCTCTCACATTTTATTTGGAGCACTCATATAGGTTGGTAGGTGGGAGAGAGCTGGGTCACATGAAAAGCCGTACTTGGATACTACAATTTGAACTAGCTGCGAATCAGTGCTTCAGAGACTTCTGTACACCCATCTGCACAGAGCTCATAGTGGCTGCACGCTCTCCAATCACGACTGCAGACCGGGCATCATCTACAGTACTGTATACAAAATGTGCACCATCTGCTTGGCTACCACTCCCATCGGCTCTGATTGGGATCACAAGAGAAGGTCGTGGACAGTGTGGGAGGGGGAAAAAGAAGGAAGGAGAACAAAATACAAAATCATAAAAAAGCCCAGTCTCACTGGTCTGGCAGAGCCTGGAGGAGCCGTCGTCACGGTGGATGGCCCTGGGTCACTCTGTAAGCTTGGCACTAAAATCATCTGTGACTCAACTTCCAGCCAGATAATACAGAGCCCCACAATGTGAGCATTAACGTCTGGAGGCATCTACTTCTCAGAACAATGAACCAGATGAGATAAAAAAAGGGCAACATTTACTGAAACATAGAGATCAAAAAAGGGCACCATTTACTGAAACACAGAGCCCAGGGGGAGCAGGAGAGACCGGGTGGAGATGGGGAGAACAGGCAGCAGTGAGGTGAGAAGGGGTGCACTGTGGGGATTGCAAACCAATGTCACGAGATAAAATGGGGATAAACTTCTGTGTGGAGAACTCATTTGCTCTATAAACTCTACACGAACCTCAAAAAAAAAAAAAAAAAAGTAAAACAGCAGCAGCAAAAAGTGCACCATCATGGAAAACAGCTTCCAAAGCAAACTCACCAAGTTCTGATTTTATTTTGAGGAGATCAAATTCATGTGCATCCTAAAAAAAAGGGAACGGATACATCTGTAAGCATATGAATTATTTAATCTTTCGTGCTGAAGTTATAAACAGCTTATCCACAGGAGTTGGAGGACTTTAGAAATGAAGACTGAGTATCTCATCGTCTGCGTTTGAAGTGTTCTAATTCTGCTCTCTCCCACACCCCACGACATCTTTAAACACAGACCAAATAAGTCATGCCGATCAGCTACACATTTTAATTATTCACAGATTGTAGCAGTGTTTTTTAACAATTTACTCTGTGCATCCTGCACTTTGACCCAAGGTGTCCTCAGTCCCCAGGTCAGATGAGGCTCTACTGCAAAGTAAATCTAGAACTGACTCAAGAATTATAAAAAAGCTCAAACAGCCCGAAGCAAACAACCAAACAAGCCAGTGCTGTTGAGCCAGTTTCAACCACCGTGTTCCTACAGGGCAGAGGAGAACTGCCTGACTGGTTATACGGAACGTTCATGGAGCAGACTGCTCTTTCTCCACAGGAGAGGTGCGTGGGTTCAAACGGCTGACCTTTTTGTTGGTGTCAGTGTGATTTAACCACTGTGCCACCAGGGCTCCTGACAGGTTCTTCGTTCCACCTGCAGGCAGACATTTTTAGAGATTCCGATTTTCCTTTAAAGCTGTCAGACACACTGCTTACATCTGCACATTTCTCATCTCTCTCCTCTTCCCATAAATTATGCTTTTATCTTTACCACGCAGGGCCGTTCACTTATCCCACTTTGTTTTATTTACTTCTTCCTCCGCATTTGCTCTCCTCCTGCAGACGTCAGTCTCTCTCTACAAGCGTTTTGGGGCATGAGCTTGCAGAAGGCAAGGATTGTCCCATGCACTGTGCCTGGCATCCAGGTGGAGCCTATCTATGCAGGATGACAATTCTCACTGACAGCGACTGAGTAGACGGTGAGAGTTCCTGTCAAGGATGCTGCAGGGGGAATCTCCACACAGGGCAAGGGCACCGAGGTGCCTTTCAGTGAAAAGATACAGGTGATTAGGAGTTAAAATTATATACAAGAAACTAGTGGCGCCTAATATCAGAGAAACTGAATGGCTGCCTTCAGAAGGGAGAATGCCCAGGGGCTGCCGAACACCTTCTAGGTCAGAACAGTGGTTCTGAGGGAGGGTACAGGGATGCAGGTAAAAAAGGAGAGAGTGCTCCCCTGAGAGAGGTGGGGAAAGGAGTATCAGAACCATCTGGTAATATTTTTTTCTGTTGTATCACAGCCCCCCCCCCCCAGCTGCGGTTCTCTGGTGAATCACTATGTTCTCCTTTCACACCCACACTGTCCAGTCGATCAGAGGCGTGAGGAGCGTGTTATCTCTCTAAGGTACACTGGGGTGAAGAAGGCTTTGAACATCTTGTGTCAGGCTTCATTTCAATTTAAAAATGTCCAGATTAGGGGGTTCAGACTGTGAAATGTCCTCCAGTTTCTTCTCTCCACTTGTGCGCCCAACGGCACTGCAAGGGGACATCAGGGTCCCTCTCTGATGGACCCCAAGGGACCTCTGTTCCCACAGACACTCTAAATGGCTGCGACCTCCTTTCCCACCTGCTCTCCTCAATCACTCACACAGGAAGCACTGGAAATGGACTTGGAACTTGCCTGCAGCTGTGAACAATATTATCAGAAGCTCTGCTAATAATCAAGGTTGCAGATGCCACTTCACGAGTTAGAACTATCTTGGAAGTATCTCCAAGATGAGACAGAGCCAGTGGCCTGTGAAATCTCACTCAACCATCCCCTTGGGTCCAGTCCACTGCAGTAATAACACTGGTGAGCCGGATCTCCCTGGGTGAACCTGCCTTATCTCCTGTTTTGCTGACAGCACTTCTGGGAATGAGATCATGATTTGAGCAACTGAAGGTCCAAGGTGGTGAGGTTGTGGTATCAGCATTCTACTGTCACAGCAAAACCAATTCCAAGTGAATGAAAGCAGCTCACCTCCATGTGGACATATAACATCTCGATTGTTTCGGCTTGCTTTTCACAAAACAGGCAGACAGCAGAGACCGGGTGTTCTTCCCAATCAGACCAGTCACTGTGTCGGAAAGAACACAGAAGATACGGGGGTCCCTTCATTAACAAGGTGCGCTCCTCTTCCTAGGCAGCCTGCCAATCTCTCTCAGCTCTGACATTCTTGTAAGGACTGGCACATCCTCTTATGAGTATTTGGGATACAGATTGTAAAATCCCAAACAGCATCGTGAGATTAATATAAACTGTGAACAGGGCTGCTCCATTCTCTTCTATGTGCCTCTCTTCTGAGAGGTTACTTCACTGCAGAATTAGCTCAATGCCTTTCGGAGAGAACCGAGCTTAATTGGCAAAGCATGGGATCACGGGATGGGCCACTTGTTCTCATTAGCCACCACCACCCAGTGCACATGCTGTGAGGCGCAGGTCTGGGAGTGTGTTTCTGCACGACAAATGCAGTCTTTTGAAAAGGTAAGCCATGCATCTTTCATGAGGGAGCTCCAGCTCATGCTAGAGGGGCCAAGTGTTAAATACCTATCAACCGACAAAGAGCTCAGAGGCACACGGGACCTCTTTTCTACTACTTTTTGCTTCCTCGTATTTAGCTTTTGAGATATTGCCAATTCTTGTCATTGCTAAAGAAAACTCCTAAGAGGTTGAAGAGCTGTGGAGACCAGGAGCTCCCCACTGAAATCTGAACAAGGGTGGCTCATAGCGAGGTCACAGAGCAACACAGCATTGACTCTGAAGATTAAGCTCACGCCTAAATGTTCCTATCAGAACACAAAGAATAGTGTTCTATCATCTGGGGGAAAGTCACCAGCATGCCTGCTTAATTCTGTGATTTCAAAACCCAACATTAACCCATTAAGCATTCTAAGTGGCACGCCCTAATGGGAAAGAAATGTGTTCCTTCTAGTCCAGAGGCCTCACTGCCTGCCTCTGTAGGCATCAAAGAAAGTTAGCAATGGCAACTCTCCAACTTTGGGCTTTACTTCAATAATACTAACGCAAAATCACGGAAGCCAAAAAAAGGGCAAACAACTCCGAATAAAAAGAAGATGAAAAAGAGGAAATCCTTTAAAGTTGAAAACAACACGTCTCAAGCTTATTCAAGCAATTTCAGGCAAAGAAGCTGTGAATGTTTTAAGTTAGCCATCAATGGGATGAACTCGGAACAAGGTGCAGTTCTATTATCTATTCCAGTCGTAAGCAACATGTAGTGTTCAAAGAGCAAATCATCTCAAGATTCGGAGATCCACTGAGTAAGCAAAGCACTTTCTCGGAATTACATATTATCCGTGCTCAATCAATAAATTGCTCTAATTGCAAAATACTACTTAGTTGGAACAACAATTGCTTTAGTGATTATTATTTCAAAGCTATTTTGAATATAACTTATGGCCATGTTACCTCAAAGAAAATGTATCTCAGATTAAAAAAAAAAGAAAAAAGTTTTGTTTCTTTTTACTCTCCCTGTTCAGGTAACATTCTCCAAAGAGAATCTTAAACCAAACTAAAGGACTGTTTATCACCCTGGAAAACACTGTAATGAAGTATCAGCAATAAGAAGCCTCACTCATCCGGATGGTCCAGCAACTCCCGATCGTCTTCCAACTGAACTTCTTCCCAAGATTTTCCAAATTCCTATGCAGAAAGGATAAAGAGATTTAAGAGACTGGAGTAGGGATGAGAAGAAGAGAAAGAAAATAAAATAGATGCACAAATCTAAAAGAAGAAAACTGTAAGAAACTGGTTTTGAAACAAGACAAATAGAATATATCGAATATTTTATATATACGTGACAACGGTGCATCCTACAATGCTTTCATATTATCTTTTTCTTTTGGAGAAACAGTAATATACTCTTCAGCCCACAGTGATCTTTCAATAGGACACTTCCCTGTTTGTATAATATAAACCCTCTACAGCTTCCCACTAAAAAGAAAATTCATCTCCCTTCCTGTGGCCTACCAGGCCTCTGCACTGTTTCTGGCTCTGTCTCCATCCTTGCTTTCCTACCACATTTTCCTTTGATTAACTTGCTTTATGGACCAGCATTTCTTTTAACTATATTTTGAAGACCTCAAGCTCATGACCACCCAAGCCCCTTTGCAGTTGTCCTCTGCTTGAAACATGAATGACTTCCATTTTTCTTCTTTCCATTGAGCCATTTCTTCTTCTCCTTTGCCCCCTTTTTCTCTAATTTCGCATTGTCGCTCATTGAAAAGCAGATAATGGTACTAAAGAGGGATGTAGGAACATTATTGCGACATGCTTTCAGGCAGCTGAACTGTGGCTTGGGGCAGCCCTGTCTATAAGCTTATACGCTTCTGCAAGATCTCTTTGTTCAATCTCATTCTTTTGGAAAAAACCATAACCATAATTCACTTTCAATGATGAACTTTTTTCCTCTTCAAATAAAGGTATTCATTTAGCTAAAAACAAAGAACTACTGGTGCTATTATGATTTATGGGGAAAAAAAGAAAATTCATCATTCATCAAGTTAATGAGAGGTTTTGAAACTGTCATTATCTATCAGCTAAATGATGCATAACCACAGACCTGCAGAGATCTGCCACGGCGTCATTAGAGACAGTTAATTTGGACTCTATAATGTACTTCCGAGTGTCGTCATGAAGCGTTAGAACCTCATTAAAGGACACCAAGACAGGCCTCTCCACTGCCATTGGGTCCCTGTTGGAATTTTTTGTGATGAATTAAATCATTCAGGTTTTCCTTGGTCTCTCTGGACTTAAAGTCATGCTTTTATTGCTGTAAGATATCACTCCAAGGTGGGTCATTTATAGCATTGCTATTCTCAACCATGTGGACAGGTTTACCAAGAAATTAGTCAGATGAAGGTAAGCAAAAGAAAATCCTTTTTTGTCCGAATGTAAAGCATTATTTCACAGGTTCCTCGGGATCCAATAAAACACATCAGAATTCACCCGGGCAAAGCGGCATGAACCATGTGCCACTGGAGGTAAAGGGGAGTCTAGGTGCTGCTACTGTTTGTTAAGTGCTGTGGAGTCAAGCGGGACACCCAGCAACCCTATGAACAGACCTAAAGATGCTCCTATCCTGTGCCATCCTCATCATACAGGACATCTCTGACATGTAAGAATCATATCAGAATCTATTAGGAAACATGCAATTTGAGTATTATGATGACCTAGGCTTTTCCAGAATGCATTGCTTTGGTTCAGTTAAATATATGACTTACAAGAACAAGACCCAGAGAGAAAAACAACCAAGTACATAACTCTCTAATTAAGACACTGTGCCTGCTAATGAATCATGTCAGGAAAGCAAAGAATGCAAGAAAAACAAAGTTTGGAAGGCATGTCAGCAAGACGTTCAGAACACCCCCTCAAGCCCCTGCATCAGATGGTTTCTGATCAATGAGAGGGTGGAAAAAAACACAGTTGGGAGGGGGGCAGCTCCTCTTCATTTAACATCTCTCTGCCTTCATTAACGTGGTTACACACACACAAACACCCTTCATTAGGAACAGAGCGAGAAAAATAGTTTTATGATAAATAATTTCCTCAGTTACAGCAAAAGCAAAACTAAAGGTGTATATATCAGGTGTGTAGTATTTCTTCACGTTATTCAATCTGCATGTTGTGCAAATATCTCGAGAAAGTGGACTGGATGAAGGCGAATGTGGGATGGCATCAAGGCTGGAGGAAGGCTCATCAACCTGCGTTAGGAGAGGATACGGCCTTGCAGAGAGTGAAGATGGGAAGCACTTGCTGAAGAACAAAGACGGAAGTCTTCACTATAGATTGCATCTTAACAAAACCAAAAAATTACAAAAGATGGAGAAATGACTGAAGTTGTCAGCAATTTCATTTCATGTGGGTCCACAATCAACACCAATAATAGTTGATGTTATTAAGTGCCGTTGAGTCGTAGATGACTCATAGCAACCCTATGAAGGAAAGACCTGAACATTTGTATAACTTTCTTCATTTCTCCAAGTTCATAGAGTTTCTGGAGGCAAGCTATTTTAGAAGTGGATGCCACTCCTGCTTCCAAGCTTATTTTACTAGGGGGCTCCACTAAACACTGTCCACCATGTGTAACCATTATTGCATTTGGCACATCAGGGTCGGTGTTTAGCATCACAGCAACCACAAGTTACCTCTGTACAGCAAGTCAACAGACCAGAGCTATACTACCTAGATGAATGTTTGACCAAAAACAATGAAAAGCAGGCCTGAGTGACACAGATTAAAATCACCCACCTTTGGTTGGTAGCATCACTTTCTGTCCACTAGGCCAACTGAGTTCTCTCTAGCAGGCAAGAAATCAAAAGCTGTGCAGCACTGGGAAAATCCGCTTTCAAGCTCTTTAGAATGCTAATAAAAAGTGAGGGTATCAGACTAAGGTGCACCTGATACAGGCCATATTTTCAAATGTTTCATATTCACGTGAAAGTTGAACGAGAAAGGAAGACTAAAGAATCGATACCTTTGAACTGTGTACTACTGAAGAGTACTAACATTCCATGAATTGCCAAAAGAACAAACAAGTCTGTCAGTGAGGAAAACAAGCATCATGCTGGGAGAAGACTGAGGGTCAGAGGAAGAAAGGAAGACCATCAGCGAGATGGACTGACACTGACTGCAACAACTGTTGTTGTTGTTGGTGGTGCTGTCAAGTGGAGTGTAACTCACAGCATCCCTGTGAACAAGAGACCTGAACCCTGTCCTATCCTGTGCCAGCCTCGCTGACACACTCAAAACTCATAGCTGTGGTCACTATGTCAATCCACCTGGTTGACAGTCTTTCTCTTTTTGCTATCTCCCCACCTTTCCAAACACAATGTCTTTCCCCAAGGAATAGCCTTTCCTAGCAATATTCCGGAAGTACGTGAGATGAACTTCGCCATCTTTGCCTCCAAGGAGAACTCTGGCGAAACCTTCTCGAAGAAATATTTGTTGGTTCTCTTGGCATCCATGGGATTTCCAGTACTTTCCTCCAACACCACAATATAAAGCCTCCAGTTTTTCTTCTGTCACCCTTAGTCACTGTCCAGTTCCCAGCAGCACAGTGTATGACTAAAAGGACGATGGTTTGAATCAGGCACACCTTAGACCTCAAACTTACATCCATCATTGCTCCTCAGTAATTTGGACTGCAGACAATCTCAGTAAAATACATATCCTGATCTCCTGACTGCTGGGACCAAATGTGCTGTTATGGATCCAAGTAAGATAAATTGTTGACAGTCTCAATCTTTTCTCCATCTATTATGATGTCATCTGTTGGTTCAGTGGTAAGAACTGTAGTTCTCTTAACACTGAGATGCAATCCATATTGAAGAGTAGAGTGTTTGATTTTCTGTAGCCAGTGTTTCAGGTCCTTCTCGCTTTCAGCAAGCAAAGTTGTGTCATCTGCATAACGAAGGTTATTGATGAGACTTCCTCTGATCCTCATGCTACAGTCTTCTTCACAGTGTCCAGCTTCTTGAAAACACTGTTCAGCAAACCAATTGGGCTTGAGTATATCACGGATTCTGAGGATGGCATAAAAAAGGACAGGGTTCTGATCTCTTGTTCATAGGTGGCTGTTGAGTCAGAGTCAACTCAATGGCACTTAATATAGCAACAACAATGCAAAACTATGAAGAAGTAGCTTAAGAGCCTAATATCATGATATATGACTTTGTATATTTTAAGAAAAAAACCTTCATATAAAGTTGATAAAAAGCACTGCAAGAATGCTTTCCTTTGGCTCTGGTGACACAGTGGTTAAGCACTGGGCTGCTGAGCGAGGTCAGGGGTTCAAAGCCAGCAGCCACTCCTCAGGAGGAGGACGTGCCCGCTTCTGCATGGACTCCAGCCTTGTCCATCCTACAGGTCAGTTCTGCGCTGTCCTGCAACAGTCATCGTGAGTCAGGAATAATTTGATAAATACATTCGTCAGAGACACTCAGACTTGGAATAGGAGCTCCTCAGGAACCCAGAACCTCTTCTCTGAGGCAGGGGAGCCTGGAAGGGAAACTGTCTGGCAGGTTGACCTTTAATCATGTTCATCAGGATCTGATCCCTTTGGTTTGTGGAAAAATAAAGTGAGCAGTCGAAGTAGGACATCACGATTATGCAAGGAACCTTCGGTCTACAGGTAAGTGCGTTAGTGTTTAGAAACTGACAGGAGTTGCCAGAGAAAGGGACATTTCACCTAAGAAAGAAAAAGGAGCCTGGTAGTGTAGTGCAGACTAGTGAGGTGTAGGATCTAACCAAAAGGCTGGCAGTTAGAATTCACCCTGGGCAGGACAGAAGGGCAGTCTCTTCCTAGTTGGATTTCTGGCTTTGGAAACCCATTAGAGGGTGGGGATGCATTGGACGCAACTTGACAGCAGTGAGTAAGAAGGAAAAAAGGAGCCCTGGGAGCAGGGGGTTAAGTTTTAGGTTAAGAAGGAAAGAGGAACCTGTCAATTGGCTGAGCTCACTTTCTCTTTCTCTACTAAGTGCATCTGGTCAGGGAGGACGCTGGATGCTGCGTCTAGTACTTCTCATCTGGAGACGCTATAGGTGCTTGAAATGGAAGAAGGGCACACTGAGGATTAATAACCAAATGCTACATATACGTGCTACAGAGGGGGTCAAAATATTAACTGTGTACTTACCATTTC